GCCTGTGATGTTATTTTCAACACCTTCCAATGGCTTCCAAACTTCTAACTTATCCTTATCTTAAGTTCCCTCAAGCACCCCTGGACCTGCCCTGTGCATCCCTCAGATCTCATCTCTGCACTCTCCTGGGGCACACTGTGCTCCACCCACAGCAGGCTCTGATTCCTTGAACATGCGACTCATTGTCATCTCAGGGCTTGTGCCTTCTCTGTTCCTTCTGCCTACCGTGCTCTTCCTCTTAAGCTTCTCACACCTAGCTCCTTCACATGTTTATTTATTTATCTTTGAGGTAGAGTTTCACTCTTCTCGCCCAGGCTGAAGTGCAATGGCGCAATCTTGGCTCACTGCAACCTCCGCCTCCTGGATTCAAGTGATTCTCCTGCCTCAGCCTCCTGAGTAGCTGGGATTACAGGCTCCCACCACTACGCCCGGCTATTTTGTTGTTGTTGTTGTTTTCTGTATTTTTAGTAGAGACGGGGTAATGCAAGCCCTAAATGCTAGCCACACACGTGACTTACAACTTTCTAGTAGCCATATTAAAAAAATAAAATCACTGGGGGAAATTAATTATAATAATATGTTTCATTTAACCCCACAAATAAAAAAAAATCATTGGAACATGTAACCAAAATTAAAGTTATTAATGAGACAAGTTGTATTATTTTGATCATACTAGTGATTAAACTACACTAAGTATATTTCACACCTAAGCACATTTCAGATCAAGATAGAAACATAAGCACTCAAAAGTTGCCTGTGGCAAGTGGATACTCCATTAACAGCACTGCTCTAGAATTTAGGAGGTGTTTGTCAGAGAGCAGGAGTTCCAACGATAAATTTTAAATTGTCAGTCCCCAACTTACCAGCAGCTAAGCTCCTCTTCCTGTGTGTTTCTTGGCTTCCTGTGGAGTAACACAAGCTCTAAGGGCTTTTACAGAGACTACTGAATGACGGGGGAGGGACAACGGAGCTGGAACCAATCTCCTAACAGAAACTCAGGATATCTTATAATTTTCAGAAGACACTTTGGGTATGTTGTCAGTGGACTCTTCTTGGAAACCTATGTGTCTGAATGTTCCTTCATCTCTAGCTTTCTGTGAGAGACTGGAGTTAATGCTTCCAAATGTCAAAGGTCAAGGAACCTGAATGTCCAGCCCTTCCTTCTTCAGTTTCACGAAAATGAAAGAAACAATTACTGAAGTGAGAAGAGTTTCAGCCATGTATTAAAGCCCAAATATGATAGTTAAGTCAAACTCAATTCTCGACTTATGCAGTCCTTCTGGCATCAAATGTGTGTGTCTGTTCCATATCAAGCAATTCTCCAATTCTCTGGGGACATCACTGGGTATCTCACAATTCAATTCAGCTCTGACGCTGTCCACCTGGAGTTAGTGTCAGATCCCACAAGTTAAAGGGTTTACTCTCCCAAGACTGTCCTCACTTCAGACACCAATTCAAGTCCCAGGTGGTCACCTGTACTTCTGACTGACTGGCTGTAAATCGGGGGTGGGGGGATGTTTATAACCCCTTCCTCTGTTTTGATAATTTGTTAGAATGGCTCACAGAACTAAAGAAGGCACATTACTGGCCGGGCGCTGTGGCTGTCACCTGTAATCCTAGCACTTTGGGAGGCCGAGGTGGGTGGATCACTTGAGGTGAGGAGTTCAAAACCATCCTGGCCAACATGGTGAAACCCCACCTCTACTAAAAATACAAAAAAAAAGTTAGCTGGGCATGGTGGTAGGCACCTGTATTCCCAACTACTTGGGAGGCTGAGGCGGCAGAATCACTTGAACCCGGGAGGCAGAGGTTACAGTGAGCTGAGATTGCGCCACTGAAATCCAGCCTGGGCGACAGAGCGAGACTCCATCCAAAAAAAGGAAAAGAAGAAGGCACATTACCTACAGTTACTCATTTGCTCTCAATGGAGTTCACATATCAAGAAATAGGAGGTGGTAGGTATTGTATAGGTGCAGGTCTCTAAAGAGGTGCTTCCTTGCTGGCTGCTGGAGACATAGAGATCAATCAGGCATGGGCTCTGCGGACCACCTGAATAGAGGGGTGAGAATGCAGTGCCTAGTTACAATAGGGTGGGGGTATGTAGTGATAGGCAGATGCCTGGCTCCTTGTGGGATCCCCTAAAAAGGAACAACTAACTCAGATTCACGGATCTAGAGTCAATATCCGGAGGAGGGAACATCTAGGCTGAGTGTTAAAGACTCAGATAAAGGAGAAAAAATAATGCTTTCTAGTCAGAGGGGAGTAAAAACACCCAGGAAAGGGGTCACAAAAAAGCAGGTTACTTTTGGTTACTGGAGCATAGATGATGAGAGAGACAGCAATGAGCATTAAGTTTATAGAGGGTGGCAGAGGCAATTTCTTGGATGGTCTTGAATGCTACAAAAAGAACTTGGCATTTCTCTTTAAGAACACGAAAAGCTTATGAAAAGAGGAGAGTGACTAGTCAGATGTATGCTTCCAAAAAACATTGTTCTAGAGTCCTCCTGCAAAGGGATGGCTCTGAGAATGTTCCCAGTTGGAGGCAGAGATCTTAAAGGGTAAGAAGTTGCCAGAGATCAAGGTGAACTTGTCGAATAGTTGCCTGTGCTGGAGTAGTGTGCTAGAGAGGAGGGGTGGTTTAGGGAGCGATTTCCAGGCCTGGTAGACTGTGCTTGGAGACCAGATAGCTCTGGAGAATGAGGAAGCATGAAGGGTCTTTATGAAGCCCACATTCATAATTCATGATTGCTGTATAACCACCCAAATCATAGCATGTAAAACAACCATTTCATTATGTTCATGGATTATGTGGGTTGGGAATTAGGATAAGGCACAGAGGAGATGCTTGTCTCTGCCACCCAAAACTCAAAGGTTTGGGGGTGACCAGAGGACTGGGTACTGAAGTCATCTGGAGCTCCTTCATTCACATGTCAGACGCCTGAGTTGGGATGACTCAAATGCTGAACGAGGCTGGGATTGCCCCAAGTGTCTACGGGCAGCCTCTCCAGCATGGTGGTCTCAGGGGAATCAGAGTCCCTGCACAATGGCTGCCTTCCCCAGAACACGTGTCCTAGGAGAACTGGAAGATGCTTCCTAGCCGTTCTTGACCTAGCCTTGAAAGCTATGTGGAGTCATTTCTACCATATTCTTCGGTCAAAGTAGTCCCAACCCTACCCAGGTTCCAGGGCAGAGGGGATAGAATATGCCTGCCTTCCTCTCAGTGGAGGGAGTGTCCAAGAATATTGTGGCCATTTTCTTCAGAACCGTTGCACCAAGGTAACTGTGTGGATTTGGGGGCTGTCATTGAGATGAGAATCAATGAAAAGAAGCAGAGTGTTTAGTTTGCTAGAGCTGCCATAACAAAATACCATTGACTGGGTGGCTACAACAATAGAAATATATTTTCTCACAGTTTTATCAGCTGGAAGTATAAGATCAAGGTGTCAGCAGGGTTGATTCCTCCTGAGTCCTCTCTCCTTGGCTTGTAGATACCGCCTCCTCCTCATGTTTTCACCTAGTTTTCCCTCTGTGCCTGTCTGTGTCTGGTTCTCCTCTTTTCATAAGGATATCAGTCATATTGAGTTGGGGCACACCCTAATGACCTCAGTTTCAGTTAACTACCTTTTTAAAGGTTGTATCCCCAAATACAGTCACATTCTGATGTGCTGGGGTGTATTAGTCAGTTCTCATGCTGCTAATAATGGCATACCTGAAACTGGGTAATTTATAAAGGGAAGAGGTTTAATGGACTCACCGTTCCACATGGCTGGGGAGGCCTCACAATCATGGCGGAAGGCAAAGGAAGAACAAAGGGATGTCTTACATGGCAGCAGGCAAAAGAGAATGAGAGCCGAGTGAAAGGAGAAACCCCTTATAAAATCGTCAGATCTCGTGAGCCATATTCACTACCATGAGAACATTATGGGGGAAAACTGCCTCCAGGAAACAATTATCTCCCACCTAGTTCCTCCCACATCACGTGGGAATTACGGGAGCTACAATTCAAGATGAGATCTGGGTGGGGACACAACCAAACCATATCATGGGGTTAGGGCTTCAACCTAAGAATTTGAAGGGGAGTGTGACACAATTTAGTCCTTGGAGTTGTGGGAGAAGGTGAGGAGAACAAAGGCTGGAGATGAGTTTGAAAGGAAACAGGAACACAAAATGATGTGTCTGGACATCAAGGGTAGGTCTGAGCTAGAGACAGGGATCTGGTGAATGTTAGCTGAGGTGTGGTTCAAGTTTTAAGCATGGACGGGTTCACCACAGAGAATGTGAAACAGCAGAAAGAGAGGTTTATGGAATTACTAAGATATCAATAATATGTATTGCACTGGAATTCATGCCAAGTGCTTTGTATCACTGATCTTATTTGTTCTGCTCCAGAAAACACCTCTGTAAGTATCATTGCTCTCAATTCACAGGTGAAGTGACTGGGACTCAGTGCAGTTAAATTAGGGGTCAAATCTAGTCCACCACTTGTTTTTTTATGGCCTGAGAGCCAAGAATGGCTTTAATGTTTCTTACCAGCTAAAGAAAATCAAATGAAGGGTATTTTGTGCCATGTAAAACTTATATGAAATCAATTGTAGTGTTTTAAATAAAGTTTTATTGACACATAGTCATGCTCATCGTTTACAACTTTGCTTGTGGCTGTTTTCAGGCTACAACAGCAGAGCCAAGGAGTTGTGATGGAGACCCCATGGCCTGCCAAACGAAATATATTGACTCTCCGGCCCTTTATAGGAAATGTTTGTGGCCCATTGCAGTGGTTTCCTCCTGTAATCCCAGCACTTTGGGAGGCCAAGGCGATCGATTGTTTGAGGTCAGGAGTTCAGGACTAGCCTGGTCAACATGGCAAAACCGCATCTCTACTTAAAAATTACAAAAATTAGCCAGGAGTGGCAGCAGGCACCTGTAATCCCAGCTACTGGAGAGGCTGAGGCAGGGAAATCACTTGAACCTAAGAGGCAAAGCTGCAGTGAGCCAAGATCACACCACTGTACTCCAGCCTGGGCGATACAGTGAGACTCTGTCTCAAAAAAAAAAAAAAAAAGTTGGGGGAAATGTTTCAGACCGCGGATTGGCTGGCTTGTCTGGAGCTAGTGAACAGTGTTCCTGGGATTCTAGTCCAGGCAATCTAGCTTCACCACCTCAGTCCAGTGCTTTACGGGGAGGTTGTACTGCTCGTCGAGGCCATTTCCGATGTTTCAGTTACCAGAAGGGTCAGGGATTTTTGCAGCACAGACAGCAATATCCCCATCCGGTCAACCCTAAGGCCTCTTCCCTTTTAGCCTTACGCAAACACAGAAGTGAAAGTCCATTTTGACTTTCCTTTTTTTCTTCACCATAATCACCTTTGAACATATACTTGGTTCTGTTTTTGCCCAACCTGGTGTGCTAATCATGGGCCATTCTGTAGCAAGGAAAAAAATCTACTTGTGTTTTAGAAAAGAGGGCTCATGGGAAACAGGCAGGGGTATCCCAGAAGCCCCGTTTTAGGAAGAACAGTCAGACTTCAAAAGACCTACAAATGTTTCTGGCAATTACTCTCGGTGGAGTTCCTTGTCTCTTGTTTTCTCTTGATATCTGGGCCCTTCTCCTCCGTGCATAAAGATGTCCTCTGCCATTCCCTTTATTTTAATCCCCTTACAAAATGCTGGCTTCCATGTGACTCCTAGATACATCTTCATGTGTTACCCTTCATACCTTGGGAACCTTCTAAAACGCATCTGTTGTTATGATCCCAAGAAAATGTTTATAAAATACAAACACAAATGTTTATAGGGTACAAATGAACATATCACCCTTCTGATTAAAGATCTTCAGTGATTCTCCATCTTATCCCCATTCTCCTCGTGTGGGATGCTGGAGTGCAGCAGTCCCCAACCTTTTAGGCACCAGGGGCCAGTCTCATAACAATTTTTCCACAGACTGGGGGGTGGTGGGGTGGATGGTTTCAGGATGATTAAAGCACACTGCATTTATTGTAGACTTTATTTCTATTATTATTATTACATTGTAATATTCAACGAATAATTACACAACTCACAATGGTGTAGAATCCCTGGGAGCCCTGAGCTTGTTTTCCTGCAACTAGATA